GCATTGCAAAGGACAGAGTAGCCAACTGAAGGAGCCCCCAGTGGCCATATCTGGACTGCCATATGCATATGACCAGGCCTGAAGCCAATAGAAAATGTTAGCAAGTTATGAGGTTTTTAAAAAAGATTTTATTTACTTATTTGACAGAGAGAGAGTACAAGTAGGCAGAATGGCAGGCAGAGGGAGAGGGAGAATGAAGGCTCTTCGAGGAGCAGGGAGCCCGATGCGGGGCTCGATCCCAGGACTCTGGGATCATGACCTGAGTCGAAGGCAGTTCCTTAAACCGACTGAGCCACCCAGGCTCCCCAAATTATGTATTTAAAAAAAAAAAAAACTTTTTATTGAAGTTAGTTATTTTTCTGAATGACCGTAGTCCTTTTTATAGACTACTGGAATTGCCCAATAATTTACAGCCCAAATAAGATATTTTATAACCTCATAGGCATTGTGATCATATTTTCTACCACAAAATCTGAGTGCATCTATTGGGGTGGTTTAACAAAATATCTGAAATTAGAATGGTTTAAAAAATCTAGGACGGGGCACCTGGGTGGCTCAGTAGGTTAAGTGTCTGCCTTTGGCTCAGGTCATGGTGCCCGGGTCTTGGGATCAAGCTCCACATCAGGCTCTCTGCTTGGTGGGAAACTTGCTTCTCCCTGTCCCTCTACCTGATGCTCCCCCGGCTCACTCTCTCTCTCTCTCTCTCTGACAAATAAATAAATAAATTCTTTTTTTTTTTTTTAATTTAGGACACATGGTTGATACATGTACACACACACGCACACACACACAGACTCGTTCAGCCGCTCACCTTCCGTTCAGTCTAAACATGCAGTTCCTCATTTGGCCACTAAGTGGCACTTGGCCAGTGTCACGCAAGTGTAACAGGAAACCGATGGACACTGGGATAAAAGGCCGAAGAGGAACTTACTTGCTCAGTGTTCGGGCAGAACCTGGACGGGCAGTCCCCTGGGGCCCATTGAAAGAATTCATTTGGCTGAGCCTGTACTATACTCCTGTCCTGGACTTGAGGTGTTCGGGATTTAAATGATTCTGAGACTTGGGCTAATTTCAGTACAGACACAGCAGGCCAGTCCTGGGAGGATGATGGTGCAGATACAAGCTGTCACAGCTCTGGGCCCCTACAGACAGAACCAAGAGAGGGGGGCCTGCACCCTCACCGAATCCCAGCCGCGGCGCGGAACTCAGAGCAAAGTGTGGGTGTTGAATGGATGGGTACGCCTCTTTGTTCTTTAAACAGAGTTTCGCGGAGAAACCACTGTGTTCTAGAAATATCTATAAGTGCCACGCTTTTGAGCAGCTCGGCAGGAGGTGAGCCGCGGCCGCTTCTGCTGCTGTCAGTGCTCTCTGGCACCAGTGTACCCTGAATGTATGGTCGTGTCTTCTGCAGGTGCTCTTAGATCTTACAAACGAAAGGGTTTTGTCCTGCTGTGCTCCAAGAAAGCTTTTCTCTAAGACCTTAGATACTCCAGTTAAAATGTGAAAGGAGTACGGTATTAGGTGTTCTTTTGTCTGAACTGCTGGCTAAGCATAAGGATGTAATCTGGAGTTGTGACTGGCTTCCAGAACCTGAGCAGGATTTGGTATCTTTTGCAGTGAGTGTTTAAGTGTCAGACTCTGCGCTGTGCTCAGGCTCCTGGAGGACTCGCGGGATCAGAGCAGCGTCCCCTGCACGAGCTGAGGCAGCTGCCGTGGAAAGCGGTGACTTTGGAGTCAATTCCCAGTTCTGGGTTCCAATCCTGACGCTGCCACTCTTTAGCCCCAGATCTTCAGTAATTACACAAATCTTTTACACAAAATTAATTACACAAAACTTAGAATCCAGTTTTTTTGTCTGAAAAATGAGGATGTCAGTCCTGACATTCTTCATTTATCTAATCAACCAACATATTTTTGAGCTCCTCGAGGACCTGACAGTCTGGTGTGCACGACAGACGTGTCTCTTAGTGTTGAACATATTAAATAAGAATGTATTTCTTAAATTTATTTTTATTCTTAAAAAGATTTTATTTATTTATTTGAGAGAGAGAGGGCGCACACGAGCAGGGGCAGAGGGAGAAGGAGAAGCAGACTCCCTCGCTGAGCAGGGAGCCAGACATGGGGCTCAATCCCAGGACCCTGCAATCGTGACCTGATCCGAAGGCAGATGCTTCACCAACTGGGCCACTCAGGCACCCCAATGAAGAATGTATTTAACCTGAAGGTTGTGGGGTGCCTGGGTGGCTCAGTGGGTTGAGCCTCTGCCTTCGGCTCGGGTCGTGATCTCGGGGTCCTGGGATCGAGCCTCACATCGGGCTCTCTGCTCAGCAGGGAGCCTACTCCCCACCCCCTGCCTGCCTCTCTGCCTACTTGTGATCTCTGTGTCAAATAAATAAATAAAAATATTTTTAAAAATTAAAAAAAAAAAGAAACTGGAGGTGGAGGGTGGTGATGGTAGCATGACCTGTAAATACATTGCAGGCCGCGGAACTGTGTGCTTAACATGCTGAAGGTGAACATGTTATATGTATTTTATCACAGTAAAAGTAAGATGAAGAAGTACGTACCTAAAGAACCCAGCCTGATCCTGGCACGTCGTACATACTCAGTAAGCATCCGCTGAGTTAGAGAGTGAATGGTAACAAGGAAGGACCAGAGTTTTTTCTCCCAGATACAAGTACCCCGACACAACTAGGCCAGTCAGGGGGAAGAAATGGCCTTTTCGATCTTGTATAAAACATGCCACCACCAGGCCCACAGGTGGAGGAAGACTGCCAGGGCTTCTGTAAAATCAATCCTGATTTCTTGCCTCAAGCTCAAGATGGCCTTATGGAGTGCCTTCCCGTTTCTCAGACACCGTTCTGGGCTACAGAAACTGAACAGCCTCATGAAGGATATCTACATGCAGTTTCTGGAATTCTGTTCCACTTTTCATTAATTCATTCATTATGAATATGAATTCATTCATTCATTAATGAACACAGGCTTTAGGTAAAGACTAGTGTGCAAGGAATAAAGTTTGATCTGCTTGGAGACTAATGGACCAGACCTTCAAGGTCAATACCTTTCTGACAGAGAATGGAAGCTCCAGGATTATTCCAAGTAGAAGACGAAGAACTCTCATCTTTCTTTTTCCCTTTCCTTTTGTTTTTCTTTTTTGGGGGGCGGGGAAGGGTAAAGAATGAAAGAAGAATCATCTTTTCTTTTTTTTTTAAACTCAGGTAGGATTTATGGGTAACTCCCAAGTACCTGTGTAAATGAGTATGATTAACTTTGCTACTCCAGAAAAAAATTTTAATCCCAAAGTCATTTATTTTGGCTTTAGAATAGACTAGCATTTGTGTCGGATTTTCTTGCCTAATTACTTTTTGCTTAAGCTTATTTTAAAATTGTTTTAAATTCCTTTAGTGTGACAGCCTAGGAAAGTGGGGGGTGGGGAAAACGGGCCACAGATAGGATCTGAACTAGAAATTGCAGCTTTCCTATAGAAAAGCCTCCTCATATGCTGCCAGTGGGAGAGCAAAATTGGAATCAGCTTTCTGGAGAACAATTTGGCAAAATATTTTTTAAAGTCTTAAAAATATGCTTACTCTTTGATCCAGTAATTCCACTTCTAGGAATTTGTCCTAAGGAAGTAATCAAACAAGCACGCAGAAATGGAGGAACAAGGCACTCACCACAACATCTGTATCGGCAAAAAAAGAAGAAGAAAAGTGTAAAACCAATGGAAAACATTGAATACTATGAAACTGACTAAATAAAAGATGTCCCTTTCTCCAATGTAGTAATAATGTTGTCTGATTATAGACTTTTGAAACATTTACCACATCTTTCTAAGTGAAAGCGAGAATAAAACAGTGGGCACAGTTTGAAACTGTGCCTAGACACAGAGTAGGGTAGGTGAGTAGCTGGACAGATGGGAGGATGGATGCCTATCTGGAGAGACACATGCTACAGAGTTAACTTTAGTATTGCCAAGTGGTGAAATTGTAGCCGATTTTATACTTTTTGTGTTTTTCAAATTTTCTGCTTGAATTGTATTACTTTGTAATTAGAAAAACGAACAGTCCTAATATTTTAAAAGAATATGCGTGTAGTGTATCAATGAATAAGGTCAGTGTTGCTATATAATACCCACAAAGTGGGTGACGTAAACACGCGTAATGTAGACTAAATGTGTTTACTTCAGCGTCTCATTCATGCAAGTGAATTATCAACAATCATACTGAACACATAAAATCAGATGTACCTTAGATTAAATTATGTTTCCCAAGAAAAATAACCACATTCAGCAAAAATCTGTGAAGGTACAGTTAGGGGATCATGTGAGTGTCCTATTTCTGATCCCAGCGCTAGGAGGTAGACACTTCTAGAACTAGGAGTACTGCAGTTTCGCCAAGCTACAAAGACTGGCCAGCGGATTTTCTCGGAATTTTGTGTAAAAAATGTTTATTGTCCAGGGCACCTGGGTGGCTCAGTGGGTTAAGCCTCTGCCTTCGGCTCAGATCATGGTCTCGGGGTCCTGGGATCGAATCCCTCATCGGGCTCTCTGCTCAGCAGGGAGCCTGCTTCCCCCTCTCTCTGCCTGCCTCTCTACCTACTTGTGATCTCTGTCTGTCAAATAAATAAATTAAATATTAAAATAAATAAATAAAAATAAAATAAAAAATTTAAAAAATGTTTATTGTCCAGATAACACTAGAATACTGACAGCGTTTAAAAATCATTCTTAATAGTCTGAAAGCAAACCCCACTTAAGTCTTGTACTGTGTCCCCCTCCGTATCTCAATTTCATCATCCACAACTCCCCATCCCAATGGGGAAAGAGTGAAAGTGTAAGGTAAATGACAGACAATCATAAACCTTTGATGACCCCAAAATAGCTCTTGGCTCCCATTTTCAGGAACTCTGCTTTACATAACCAGCTGCGGGGAGAATTTGTTCTTCACTGTTTGCAGCCTCGGCTCTGTACACACGATGGGGTTCTCTTTTATTTGCAGTTCCTAAATGCCGAAGACACCATGTGGTTTCACGGAAGGAAAAAACCATGCAGGTCTGGCTCCCTGTTGTCTCAGGTCAGATGGAAAAGCCTTTTGTGATTAACTCGGCCACAGTGTGTCCTTTGGTATTTGGAACTTCAGTGGGAGTTATTAGCTATCCACATTTTGAATGCTGACTCAAATAAGCTGCCTACGGTGGAAAAAGCAGATAAACCTAGGCCTTTTGACGCCAAATAGAATCCCCGTTCGCCCACTGGCCGTGACCTTGAGCAAGTTCACTTAACATGTCGGGTCTCCGTGTCCTCACTTAGTTAGGAGAGTTGTGCCTTCCTATCTCACCTTGAAAGGCTGTTCTTTGTCAGCCCTGGTGGGGGACAGTTACCCATCTCTCTAAACACACTGCCTTCTCCCACTTTGTTTCTCACAGTTTCCTTATGCTGCCCCGCCTCCCCAAGAGCCTGTAAAGACTCTGAGAAGCCTGGTCAACATCCGGAAGGACACGCTAAGACTCGTAAAGTAAGTTTCCCCGGGGCGGGGGGGCTCACCCAGGTTTTGGTGCAGCACAGCCAACTCACCCCAGAGACTTAGGAAGCAATTTCTGCAAGACGCAGAGTCTGATCCCCCCCGGGGCTCGGGGATGTGAACCCCTCCCCCGGCAGTGACTGAGCAGTCCCCGTCCATGTCCACGGAGATTAGGTCTCCCCGCATCCAGATTATTCAGAACTTGGCGTCTGTGTTTGTGGAGGACTTGTCCCTTTCCTGGAAGCAGTCCTTATTATCCTTGTTTTACGATTTTAAAAAAAAAAAAAAAGAAGAATTATTGAGGGAAAAACTGAATTTTGCAGCTGCTTCAGCAAGCCTAGGGGAAAATGGGATATTTGAGGTTGGAATATAAAATCCTTGTTTTACTGCTTACATTTACTCGTCATCTCCTGTGTCCTCCCTCTGAGGAACTCGTAGTGCTGATTGGTTAATCGTCATCAATATTAATTCTCATCAACATTTGCCTTCTCTGTGCCATCCCCAAGACAGTGTAATTTTGACACTGTTGCTCAGGGTAGCAGGCCAGTCTGCTGAGGCTCTCAGTGCTCCCCTGGGAAGACGGATTTGGCGAGGGCAAATCACGGGTCCCAGATTTCTCTAAATGGACAAGAAAGATGTCAGTCCTGTTAGTATTAGGAAGTTTATTCCTCTCAGATAATTGTTTTAATATAACTTCATGAAGGTATAACTCACATGCTGTACCATTCGCCCTTTGAAGTGTACAGTCCAGTGGTTTTTAGTATATTCAGAGTTGTGCGATCATCACTACTGTTGAATTTTAGAACAGAAGAGACCCTGAGCTCACTGGGGGTGAGTCCACACGTCCCCCGAAACCCTCTTCAGAACCTAAGCAACCGCTAATTTACTGTCTGTCCTTCGCTCTTCATTTTTATATTTCATTTGTCCCTGAAGTTTTGACTGCTTCCCCAACTATTCCCCCAGCCCTGGAGTCCGCCCTAGGGACCAGGCAGCCGTGGAGGTGCTCTGCCGGGGAGCTGCCCGCAGCTGGGCCTCGCCCTCCCTGGGGCCCTTCGCCCTCCCTCGGGGGGCCCCGTGACAGCAGAATGGATTGAGGCTCCCGAGGCCAGACTCTGCACCTTGTTTCTCTCTCATCACACGTGGCTGTGGCTCAAGGGCCGGGGCTCCAGCAAGTGCCGTGCTGGGAGGCCCTAGCTGAACCCGCCTGCCTGGAAGCCGAAGACCAGCCTGCTTCCCAGCCCTTCCAGCTGCCCTCGAGCACCTCGATCACACTCGTCCTCGAGCTTCAGGCTTCCCACCCGTAGAGACTGCACCATACTTCACCTCTCATGGCTGTTGTCAAGGTTCAACAAGATAATGGGAGGAAAAACACCTACTATTCAATAACCGTTAGACTGAAGAGTGTTCTTGCTCTGTTTTTCCGAGATTACGGGAATAGGGTAGATTCTGAGTCACAGACTTCCAGGGAAAGATGGATGATTGAACATCTTTTGCTTCCAGCCAAAACCCACCAGTAAGAGCATTGTTTAAAAGGATTAATCCAGAAGGACTGGGGGAATGGGAAAGGAACACCAGCAGTGTGGTGTAGGGACGAGAACAAAGGCAAGTGTTAAATAACTTAGCAGGCCACGGAGATGAGAATCCTGAGTGAGCGGAAGGAAAAGCTGATAATCACCCACTTAAACTGTTACCCCCCGAGGGCTCAGGAACTGGCAGTACCAGGAGCTCTGGACGCTGAGGTGGAGGGCGAAAATGAAGACGATTGGTGGGAAGCTTGCTGAGGGGCCGTCAGATCCCCTCCCTTATGCTGCACAGCCAGAGCTGCCCTCCCCACACCCTGGCCAAAGGCCGGAAGACAATTCTCAGTGGAAAAGTTAAAACACAGACTGGACTCGGGGGACCCCGGCACAACTAAAGTTGAGTTCAGTACTAAAAATGGGGGTTAAGTGAATTTAGGTACACTGGATGTTGAGCCCTCCAGCCTGCCCCCCTCACATCTTCTGCCCCCAGGCCCTTGTCCAAAGAGAAGAACACTGTCTCTGAGGAATAGGACCCTCCCAGACAGGAATACCAAAGAGAATGGCTTTGGAGATTCCTCCAAAGACCCAGATCGGGCCCTGGGGAAGCCCAGGGTCCCCAAACCACACCATGCACTCAGAGTTCCAATAATGGTCTTTTTTTTTTTTTTTTTTTTAAGATTTTATTTATTTATTTGACAGAGCATAAGCAGCGGGAGAGGCAGAGGGAGAGGGAGAAGTTGGCTGCCCGCTGAGCAGGGAGCCTGACGTGGGGCTCTATCCCAAGACCTCAGGGTGGTGACCTAAGCCAAAGGCAGACACTTAACTAACTGATGCACCAGGCACCTCTGGGGTTTTAAATGTCTTAAATAGGAGCAAACAACCAAAGATTCTTAGGTGCGTAGGAAAACCTGTAATATGAAAGACCAAGGCAGAACAAACCAACAGGAAAAAAGGTTCAGAAATTAAAACTGTAGTAGCCGACATGAAAAAGCCAATGGAACAGAAGAGGAAAAGTCGAAATAGTCCAGAAAGTGGGGCCGAAAGGTTGAGATACAGAAAAGAGGAAAGATACAAAGAATAGAGGGCCAGTGTACAAGGTCCCACATGCAACTAATGATTCTGGAAAGAGAAGAGAGAATATAGAAGGAAGGAGATCATCATTAATGACTGAATAATTTAAGGAAACTTCCCCAAACCAGAGGGCCTGAGTTTCCAAATGGCAGGGACCACTGGAGCGCCCAGCTCAGTGGATGGTAAGGCAGAGATCGTACATCAGAGGAGAACAGGATCAGCGATTGGAATGGCTTCTTCTTGGGAGCAACGCTAGAAGCTGAGAGATAATGCGGCAATACTCCAAATGTCTTTTTTAGAAGTATTTATACCCTAGAACTCCTTATTCAACCGGACTTTCATTGCAGTGTGACTGTAGAGTAAAATCTCTCAAAGAGTTTATCCCTCCAACTCATCCTTTTCCAGGAGGCTAGTGGAAGAGGAGCCCTGCCACAGGGAAGGCGTACCCCGAGGAAGAAGGCAGGAGATGTGGGAAAGAGGTGGCGGGCCCTCCCCAGGGTCATGGGGGAGGCTGGTTCTGAGAGGCTGTGTGCTGGCTCAGAGAGCCTGGGGTCCAGAGAGCATCTCGAGAAGACAAAATGCACAGAACGCTTGGTGCTTTTGAATGTGGAGAGAGACATGTAACCAACCAGAAAAGGACTAGGGTGTGGGTGAGTGAAAAGGACATAGGACACTGAGCCACTGAAGTAAGAAATGAGCCCAGATTCCAAGAAAAACTGACGCAGGAAAAGACAATCAGCGACCACTCTGTGGCTAAGCTGATCATGTTAATATAAACCCAGTAATGCAGACACAAAGGTGCTGAGCTCCCGGAATCATGATGTGCACGCTTTGGGGCAGGGGGCGTACTCATATGGGGCCGCTTGAGGGAAGTGAAAGAAATCCTGGCTCCCGTGGTAGGAGGTCCATGGATAACACCTGAAACTGAAGTCAAGAATCACACAAGCATGTTCTGTAGGAACACACAGGTGAATGCCAAAATGGTCAGCTGGAAGAGGTAGAGATGGTCTCTGAAAAGGAGGGGAAGGGGTGGGGCCTGCTGCTTTTGTGACAAGCCTTGTGGAAACTGTGAGTAGAAACTTTGATTACAGTAAAAACAAAACAAAGCAAAACAAAAGGGGGGCTGGCCAATGCCCAAGTGTTCACGGTAGCTCTATGAAGTATCAGACACCACTGAAATGCCCCCCGTAGTGGCCTTGAGGGACTCCGCTGTCGTTCAGAATGAAGATGTGGGCGTAAGTCTATGACCATGGAGAGAAGCTCATAATGTAGTAAGTTTAAATACACGTGTGTCTGTGTGTGTGTGTATTTAAAAATACTGATTTGCTCTCCCCAAAGTGCTGAGTCTTTGTGGTTTCCCAGGTGTGCAGAGGAAGTGAAGACCGCTGGAGAAGAGGCCGGCAGGGCTAAGGTCCACTACAACGTGGAGTTCACCTTCGACACGGACGCCCGGGTGGCCATCACCATCTACTATCAAGCCACGGAAGAGTTCCAGAATGGGATTGCCAGGTGAGAATGAGAGACCAGGTGAGCCGAGTCCTCCCCAGACGGGCGAGGGTCCACACCTTCCCCACTCGACCATGGAAGAAAATCTTCTACCACGAGGTGAAATCTGGCTCTTGAATTTGGGTTTTCTTCTCCAGAGCCCCACCTTTTCACCTTTTCCCTTCAAACTGTGCCATTGTGTGCCGTGGCAAGGGGCAGCGGAACCTTTTATGTCATCAAGATGCTATTAAACATCCATTAAGATGCCTTTTTGGGGATGGTGGGTTGAATGGATAAGTTTAGCGGCCTGATCAAGCAGGAGCAAAGGAAACAGACAATGAAGGAAATATTTTCTGTCCTATCCTTTTCTGTCCCTAGAGCCTGTTGATGTTGAGACCAGGCGTGGGACAGAGGAAACAGTCCCTCCGTCTGGGCTAGATACTGACTTTCGCTCTGCTTCCCTCTTCGCTCAACAGCTACATCCCCAAAGACAACAGCCTACAGTCGGAGACGGTGCACTACAAGCGCGGGGTCTGTCAGCAGTTCTGCCTGCCCTCCCACACCGTGGACCCCTCCGAGTGGGCGGAGGAGGAGGTCAGTGGCCTCTGGGACCAGGCGATGGGCTGCTGGGCAGAGGCTCAGGAACAGGGACCTAGGGCCTCATCTGGACTACAGCCAGCAGGTCCCCTGTCCCCCATGCTTGAAGACCACACTGTCCTTCAGCCCTGTGACTCCTTCCCCCCCTTAAGATAGGCCCAACACCCTTAACTTTTCTGTTCCAAAGGAGCCCATTCACCTCAGATACTTGGAGAAAGCCAGGAGCCTGCAAGGAATCTGCAAAGTTAGAGGGTTTCATAGCCACAAGGCTTTAGAAAGAAACAGTGGCCTTCCACGGGACAGACTCAGGTGGTCACGAGGTTGAGGAATGAGAGCACAGATGAATTAATGCATCTTGACGACATCTCCTTCCCTGATGGATTACTGTGTCATCTCAACATGCTAAGTCCTTTTTTCTTTCCTTTTCTTTCCCGTTAGCTTGGCTTTGATCTGGACCGAGAAGTTTACCCTTTAGTGGTCCATGCCGTGGTGGATGAAGGAGACGGTAATGGGCACCTTTTATCTTCTTCCGCTGTACACGCTGCCCTTTGGTGGTGCACGAAGGACAGGCCCTCTCCGTGGGGCCCGGGCAGGCGGTCCCTGGGTCCCTGTCCTCAGGCGGACGAGAGCAGCATGGATTACAGAGTGTGACCCTTCTCACAGCCCGGAGCATCGGTTCCCGGGCACAGGGAATCGGGGAAGTTAGAAGGCCAGCGAGGTGTGTTGGGCTTTCTTCCTCATCCATGTGCCTTTGTTTATTTATTTATTTTTTTTTTTTTCCAGAGTATTTTGGCCATTGCCATGTACTGCTGGGCACTTTCGAAAAGGTGAGTAACTTTACGGGGCCTCGCTTTATTCCATTTAACTGGCTTTCGTGCGGGGTCTCGGGCAGCCCTGTTTGCGGCTGCCTGAGTTGCAGCAGGATGGGTCCGGCTCGGAGGCTGTGGTCAAGCCAAAGGAGCCTCACGCCGGGGGCTGCCCTTGGGTCTAGTGCCAGCCCTGCTACCAATTCGCTGCGTGACCTGCAGCTCTGAGCCCTCGGTTTCCTCTTCTTCGAATGGAAAGATCACACTGGATACTTGGAAGGCCCTGCGAGTGTGAGGGAGGCGTCTGTAATCCCACGCGTGTATACTCCAGGGCAGCAACCAAGAACACCTGTGCCTTCTTGCCCTCCTCCGGGTCATAACGGTCCTCTTTCATTCCAGCACACGGATGGAACTTTCTGCGTCAAGCCCCTCAAACAGAAACAAGTGGTAAGTATTGGACAGCCAGGGCTCCTTGGTGTCCCCCCCACCCTTCTTTCTTTTGATCGCTCATTCTCTTTTTTTCTCTTTCGCTAAGCCCCCTTCTTTCTCTCCCACTGACCCCCCCTTTTTTAATCAAAGAAAAGTGAAAAAGGGAGTACTTTTGTATGTTAGAAACTCCTTGGGTGGCCTGAAAGGAATACTGATTTGGGGTGTCTTTATTGTTCCAGAATTGTTGGTGTTGAGGCGGCCATTATCTGAGCAAAGGACTTAAGAAATGAAAGGACAAGATTTGTCTCTTGACATTAGGTTTCGGGAGAGTTCTTTTTATTTAAAATGCCAGGGTGAGAAACATTCCAAGCTGAAGGATAAAGTGTTGGGGTCCAATTCAGAGCCAATTAGGGCCCTTGGCTTAATTCATCCCACCACTGCTTTTCTAAATCCCAAGTTTACTGGCCATCTGCCCCCTTTCCAGAATGACCAGCAAGTTATGTGTATGTCTGCTCCTAACCCCCACTGGGTCCCAGCACTTTTTTTTTTTCCCACTTTTGCCCAAGCAGAAGCAGAGTCAGTGAGGAGGGGAGAATGGGGTCAGGGGCATCGGCAGGACCCCCTGCAGGTGGGTGATAGAGGTCTGAATTCTGTATTGTTCATTCTTGGGGGTTAAGTGTTCTCCCGTCTTCATGAGGTCAATAGCAGTCAATAACACCTGAACATAAATTTGTTGATAATATCCTTTCCAATTTAATCGATCAGTAAGTTGAAACAAGTTTTAAAAGGCAGAGGAGAAAACAGATCCTGAGCCCAGGATACTGCCTAGGAAGGCCAAGCCTTGGTGAGTTGGCTCATGGGGCGGCCTTGTTCTCCAGGACGCCTAGAAAGGCTAGGGAACTGAAGGTAAATGATTTGTCTATTTTCCTATTGCTAGCTTGACATTAGCAACAGACTTTCAAACTGGAGAGTGGGTATGAAATCAGTGACAGGCTCAGTCTTAGGGGAGGGGATCAATAGGGGACAGGTGAAGCAGAGGGAGGTATGGGCTCACACAGAGAGACAAGGGAAGAGCCTGTTTTGGCACTGACATGGCCCAGGCTAGGGCAAGTGGGCATTGAAGTTGAGGGTTTTTTTTTTTTTAATTTTTTTTTAAAGATTTTATTTATTTATTTGACAGACAGAGATCACAGGTAGGCAGAGAGGCAGGCACAGAGAGAGGAGGAAGCAGGCTCCCTGCTGAGCAGAGAGCTCAATGCGGGGCTCGATCCCAGGACCCTGAGACCATGACCTGAGCTGAAGGCAGAGGCTTAATCCACTGAGCCACCCAGGCGCCCCTGAAGTTGAGGTTTTAAGGGTTAGGGAGAAGAGGGCTCCTTGGCCATGTGGGTGATGGGGTGGCTCGTGCAGGTGGAGGGGCTCAGTTGTCTCCCCTTCAAGATCCTACTGTCTTTCTGTCTCTCTTCTCCTGTTTTCCCTTCCACTCCTCCCCTTGCCTGTTTCTCCTCTTTCTTTCTCTGTTCCATTCTTTAATAATAAAAATAATAATATTTTTAAAGATTTATTTCTTTACAGGGCACCAGGGTGGCTCAGTTGTTTAAGCGTCCAACTCTTGATTTCAGCTCAGGTCATGATCTCAGGGTGGTGGGACCCAACCCTGCCTCCGGCTCCGTGCTCAGCGGGGCGTCTGCTACAGATTCTCTCTCTTCCCCTTCCCCAGCTCCTCCCCCTGCCTGTGTGCTTTCTCGCTCTAAAAATAAATTAATCTTTAAAAAATAAAATCTTTTTGAGAAAAGATTTATTTTAGAGAGCGCGCACGAGGCAGTGGGGGAGAGAGAAGCTTTAGCAGACTCTGTGCTCAGCATGGAGCCCAGTGCGGGCTCAAAGTCGCCACCCTGAGATGGTGACCTGAGCTGAAGCCAGGAGTCAGGTGCTTACCTGACTGAGCCCCCCAGACAACCCCCATCCCTTTATTTTTGTAATGTCCGCACTTAATGTCTGTTACATAGCCAACACTTTAATTTTGATGCATAGGCTCCATCCTTTTGCTAGTCTCTGCCCTTCTTAACTCTGCTTTCCTGTCTGTGACCTTGAGCTGTGGCACATGAATTAGTGTTGCATTCGTGAACTTTTGTGCTCCCTCTTGGGCAGAATGGTGGGTGGATTAAACATTTGATTTTCGGGGCGCCTGGGTGGCTCAGTGGGTTGAAGCCTCTGCCTTCAGCTCAGGTCATGATCCCAGGGTCCTGGGATCGAGCCCCGCATCGGGCTCTCTGCTCAGCGGGGAGCCTGCTTCCTCCTCTCTCTCTGCCTGTCTCTCTGCCTACTTGTGATCTCTATCTGTCAAATGAATAAATTTAAAAAAAAAATCTTTAAAAAAAAAAAACAAAAACAAAAAAAAAAAAAACATTTGATTTTCGTTTCCCTGTCAGAGGGAGAGCATAAGGAAATAAGAGCACCCTTTACTTGTCTAGGCCTTTGATTTTTTTCATTGTGAGTCAGTAGCCCCTGGTTACCAGAGAAGGTTGAGGGACGAGTTCCCACTTTCTCTCCGTCCAGTCAACCTGCCCTTGAACTTTGCTGTTTGCTCTTCAGGTAGATGGGGTCAGCTACCTCCTTCAGGAGATCTATGGAATCGAAAACAAGTACAACACACAGGATTCTAAGGCAGGTTCTACCCCAAATTCTGAATGTGCTTTTCCCGGGAGGCGGAGGGAGAAACGCTTTGGTGAAACTCGGATCCAGGGAGTCGGCGTGCTGAACTCTGGAATCAGTTAGGTCCGAGGAGGGGATTTTCTTCCTCATTCCAGATGCTTATGCTTATATTGCTCTGGAAATGAAAAGTTTCGGCAGGTTTGGATGAGTTCCCCTGCAGAGCCCCGGCCGCCCATTACCGGGCTCCCCTGCAGTGTTCCTGCGTGGCCCCCCACCCTTCCCTGTGTGGTCGCCTTACTCCGCCGCCCCGACAGTCTGATCCCGTAGGACAGCTTGAGAGAAGCAGCTCCCAGAATACGGGAAACCCAGTATGCGAATGCACGTGCTAAAGTGCGAAGTAAATGTAGGATACGGTTCTCGCTCCTCATCTCCACTCCTCAGGCAAGCTGCTTGCAAAGAACAGAGAGGACACGAATGTCTTTGTGTCACTGGCTCCGTTTCTATCTCCTGGGACAGGCGGCTGAGGATGAAGTAAGCGATAACAGTGCTGAGTGTGTGGTGTGTCTCTCAGATGTCCGGGACACCTTGATCCTGCCCTGTCGCCACCTCTGCTTGTGTAACACGTGTGCTGACACCCTGCGCTACCAGGCCAACAACTGTCCCATCTGCCGACTGCGTGAGTCCCAGAGCCCTAGGCCGAGACCCGCCAGGAGGGTCTGCAAACTGCCCGCCCCCCGGAGGGGGGACTGTGGTTTCTGCCCGGGCTCCCATTCATCCTGACTTCTGTTACCAGGATGGCCTGATGATCTGTTCCCTTCTTGTAGCCTTCCGGGCGCTGCTTCAGATCCGGGCCATGAGGAAAAAATTGGGCCCCTTGTCCCCAGCCAGCTTTAACCCCATCATCTCGTCCCAGACGTCTGACTCAGAGGAGCATTCGGTGAGTTGGGCCGGACACGGGACCACCCGGGAACCAAGCGCTCTGGTCCCCTCGCTGGCCCTGTGCACCTTTCATCCTTCTTTACTTGACTTTGCGACAAGTAATTAAACCTTGGCACGCTGCAGTGTTCAGTCAGCTGGCTGAGGTCACGTTGTGTTAAAACCAACCAGTATTACAGCGGAAAATTGGATACTGATCATTAAATCCCCCTTTTCCTTCTGGAACTCGGCTCCCGTTAATATTTACCCTGCCTGGAGAAGTCTGCTCCCAGCCTCACCCTAGTCCGGGAGCTCCCCCGCCCAAAGCAGGAACAAGGGCGTGATTGTCTTGCATTTGAATACAATTTACTATGTTTATCTGGGTCATTGAAGGAGGTAACTGTTTTTCTTGATCCCATTTCATGGCTCCAGCAACTGGGAGCCAAGTGGTTGATACACTTCGCTTCCGCTTCCGTGTCCCGTGAAAAGAGATAGTGCTGGAAGGCAGCCTCGAGGCTGTGAGGTCCTAGCAGACGCCATCTTCAGATTCACTCACGAGTGGAGGAGAGTCGTCCTTCCATACGTGGTATTAGGATAACTAGTTAGCTATTTAGGGAGGAAAAATCAGCTTAGCACTTCACTCCTTACCAGATTAGCAAATAAATTCCAGACGGAGTAACTAGTTAACTATATTAAAGCAAAACTACATTAAAGCAGAAGTCAAGCAAACCAAACATTAAAGACTGAGAATAAATTCTAGGTGATTCTTTAGTTGGCTTTGAATGGGAGAGGACTCTCCAAACTTAAAAGCAGAGGAACGCTACAGAAGAAAAAAAAGTGTAGATTTTACCACATAAAAATATTAAAAGTTCAGATGTGTAAAAAGGATTAAAATTAAAAGGCGAACCATGAATCATTTAAAGAAAAAAAAAGTCTTCGCAACGTTTATATCAGAGAGAAGCCTAATATCTTTGCCGTGGCTCCTATGAATCAAACAGAAATAAATGGACAAAGGATACTATTTAAGACTCTCAGGAGTGGGGGGAAAAATTAAGATTATAAAAAAAAATCCTCAGAAGAGGATGCTTAGCTGGTTAAATATCTTTTTTTTAGTTAATCATATTAAAAATCTAAAATATACGAATTAAAATGAGATACCATTTTTCACCTTTCAGATTCGACAGCTTTTTAAAAGAGACTCCATGGCAGTGGGGGTGGGGGGCATCTGGGTGGCACAGTCACAGTCCCTGAAGTCTTTGGCTCGGATCAAGATCTTGCGGTCCTGAGATAGAGGCCCCCTTGGGCTCAGTGCTGAGTGAGGAAGGAGTCAGCCTCAGATTCTCCTTCTCCTTCCCCCGCCGCCATTCACTTGCCCCACACAGGCACCTCTGTGTGTTCTCTCTTAGATAGACGGATGGATGGACGGACGGACAGATGGCATGAGCACCTGGGTGGCTCCGTGGGCTGAGCCTCTGCCTTTGACTCAGGTCATGATCCCAGCGTCCTGGAATCGAGTCCCTCATCAGGCTCCCTGCTCAGCCCGGAGCCTGCTTCCCCCTCTGCTAGGTGCTCCCCCCTGCTCGTGCTCTCTCTCTTTCTCTCTCTCTCTGTCAAAGAAATAAATAAAATCTTTAAAAAAAAGAAAGAAAAGAAAACCATTAAAGTAAATAAATAACATCTTTAAAAAAGGGAGAGAGACTTCATGCTGGTGGAAAAGCAGTTAAAATAGGTTCTCTGTCCTGCTTATGGGAGTGTGGCTGGAAGGGTCATTGAAGAAACAAAACAGAGTAGCTGTAAGTATCAAGAGCCTTAAAAATACTTATATCTGATAATGAAAGACCTAAGAATTTAATATCAAGAACACAATCCGGAAAAAAAAGGGTTTTGTGGGAGCACCTCTCTTTTGCTGGATGGATGCTCCCTGATTCACAAATTGCTTAAAAAAGCCAATCGAATCTTCAAAAAAAATAAAGATTTGTGCACAAGGATGTTCCTCAAATGTGGTTTACAGGAGGGAATGTCGGACACAGCTAAATCCCCAGCACCAGCAGAAGAGGTAGGAAATATGGACTCTCTGAAGGGAAATATTTATGTTTGCTGACATATAGGGGATATAAAATTGTTATTTACAGAGTGTAACTTTGTAAACCATACAGAGAAAAAGGTTGGAAGAAAGTGTACCAGAATGGTAATGAAAGTTGTACTTTGGGCAATTTGATTATTAAATCTTCCTTCCCCTCCCCCTTCTTTTTTATCTTCATGTGTTTTTCAAATTTCCTGTAATGAACATATATTTCCATTACAATCAAAAAACAAACACTACTAAGAAGTCCATCTGTAAGCAGAATCTAGGAATATGTGTTTCTTTGACTTTTTCTCATTCTTTGGCCTCTTCTACAGACGCTCCGCTTGCCAGACCCGATGTAAAAGAAAACCTTTTTTCAGTGTAGAGCAAGGAACGCGATCCTGCCGTAAAACAAAGAGTACTTAATTAATTTTTCAACCTGTCTCTGATTCCCCTAGTCCTCAGAGAACATTCCACCAGGTTATGAAGTGGTGTCTCTTCTGGAAGCCCTCAATGGGCCCCTCACCCCATCGCCAGCAGCCCCTGCCCTCCACGTGCTTGGGGACGGCCGCCTGTCGGGAACGCTGCCTGCCTACGGCAGCGAGGCCCATCCGCCCCCCGGCAGGACGCTCCCCCCGCCCGGCCACCTGTCTGACCACAGCAGCCAAGGAATCAAGCTCAAAAAGAGTCTTTCCAGGTGAGTGGTTGGTGCTCAACAGTGGTGCCCCTGGGGTCCCTGGTGACGCGCTTTCACGCGTCTTCCCCTGCTCCGTACTGGCTCCCATCCTGGGTCCCCAGGACAGTGTGGACCCTCTGGGCTGTTCCCAGAGCTTCGCATTTCATGGAAGACCTGGGGCTAACACTCAGGTGGAAATAAGGTGGCATGTGGGTACTTAGTGGAACCCAGACAGGCAAATCTCCTATGTTTCTGGTGGGGGCATGGGGTGTAGGGAAGAGGACATCCCTAGGATCATTGAGGCCTGTGGGGAGAATCACTTAGTCTAAAGACTGAAGGAAACTTGTGATCTGCACCTATACTCTTAAGCATTTAAACCCAACAGCATTTAAACCCATTAAAACCCAACAGGCACAAGTCATGAGAAACTTTCTGTGGCAGAGTTAAGGAGCGTGTATTATAGATAAAAATATTGAGACCCTAGGGGCGCCTGGGTGGCTCAGTCACTAAGCATCTGCCTTCAGCTCAGGTCATGATCCCAGGGTCCTGGGATCCAGCCCCGCATCAGGCTCCCTGCTCGGCAGGAAGCCGCCTTCTCCCTCTCCCATCACCCCTGCTTGTGTTCCGTCTCTTGCTGTGTCTCTCTCTGTCAAATTAATAAATAAAATATTTTTAAAAAGAACATTGAGACCCTGAAAATGTCACTGGTTTTTCCCTGGTTCGGACACAAGTTATTGAAGGAGTTGAATGTAAAATGGAGATTTTATGACACCCAGAAGAGCTCTCAGTCCCTCCCCAGGGCTCTTTCCAGCCTTTTCCTCCTTCTTAAGACCTGGGTTCCGCCTCTCCTGCTCCGTTCATCCCCTCCCCTTTCCTCTGGGCCCCCTTCTTCCTGTGGAGTCTGGCTAACGGGTGCGGCCAGTTCTGTTCTTTACACGGATGCCGGGTTCAGAGGCTCCTCTCCCCGGACTTTCGCAGGTCTGTTTCCCAGAATTCTTCCGTGTTGCATGAGGAGGAGGACGAGCGCTCCTGCAGTGAGTCAGAGACCCAGCTCTCCCAGCAGCCGTCAGTGCAGCATCTGGAAGAGGTAATCCCAGTCTCTGTTTCTTGGACGCTGGACTGCAGGTACTTCCGTCCCACCTGCCTCTCCAGGTCCATCTACTTTCATTCACTCCCAGGCACCTCGGAACCTTCTTCGAGACAGCAGCCAAGGTTTCCTTCTGTTCATCCTTTCAACAGTAGACCGAGCCTGTGTCACGTGCCAGGCACTGCTCTGTACGCTGAGAACAGTAGCATTAAGCAGACGACAGAAGTCCTGGCCCTTGTGGCACCGACAGTCTTGATACTGGGGTTGGGATGGACCCCAGGGCAGTAAAAACTGGCTGTGGGTCCATGTGTCAGGAGAGAGGGGGAGCTCGAGGCTAGAGGTGGGGGTTCCTGTCTTTAAAGGGTCGTCTGTGGACAGAGACGGAAGGAGGTGAGAGAGTGAGTGTGCAAATGTCTGAGGGAAAGCGGGTTCCAGGGACAGGGACAGTGGCGGCGGAGCCCGGTAGAAGCGCGCTGGGAGCCCAGTGCGGGGTGGTGCTGCCCGCCAGCCCCGCAGGCTCTGTTTAGCAGGCTTGGGACACCTGCTGTCTGGACGGCCGTGAGCTAGGTAAACTGCGACTGGCGAATGTGATCAGGTGGGCCCTGACTCTGGGTGCTCGAGGTCTAGTTGGGGGCAGGGCAGGCGCACAGGTTACAGCACTGGGTCTAGCATATGGTTGTTCAGTATGTATTTGTTGGGTAGATGAATGATGCTTTTTCTTTAAAGAGTTATTTACTGGGGCGCCTGGGTGGCTCAGTGGGTTAAGCCTCTGCCTTCGGCTCAGGTCATGATCTCAGGGTCCTGGGATCGAGCCCCGCATCGGGCTCTCTGCTCAGCGGGGAGCCTGCTTCCCCCTCTCTCTCTGCCTGCCTCTCTGCCTATTTGTGACTTCTCTCTCTGCCAAATGAAAAATCAACTCTTTAAAAAAACAAGAGTTATTCATTTACTTGTGAGAGAGAGAGCAGGCGTGTGCACCCCAGTAGGGGGAGGAGCAGAGGGAGAGAATCTCCAGCAGACTCCGCTGAGTGTGGTGCCTGACACGGCTCCCATCCCACAACCCAGGAGATCATGACCTGAGCTGAAACCAAGAGTCGGACACCTTACAGACTGAGCCACCCAGGGACCCCTGAATGAACGAATCTTCGCTCTAGAGAGCACCCCCCCCGCCGAGGCAGGGACAGCGTGGTCTGTGGCAGAGACACAAGAGATCATGTTAAGTGGAGAAGCCCAGGGAGCTGTGCTGGCGGAGTAGCATGTGAACTGGATCTTGGCGTTTTAAGACTCCCAGATGAAGGCGAGAGAAGCAGTCCAGGGGGTGGGGCAGTCTGTGCAAAGGCCCAGAGCCGAAGCTGGGGTGCTGGGCAGGCCAGGGGCATGTGGGAGCGTGGCCCACGAAGGCCCCCCTGATGCCGTTGCAGACCGGGCCTCCAGAGAGCAGCTGAGCCCTCGGGAGAACTCCCTGACTTGGGCAGGACACAGTGTCTGAGCTCGGATGAAAGCAGAACTCCCTGGGGCACCGGCCGGCTAAGTGGTGGAGCTTGCAGTGCTTCATCTCAGGGTCATGGGTTCGAGCACCACGTTGGGTGTGGAGCCTACTTTAAAAAAAAAAAAAACCAAACCACAGAACTCTTGGAGAAAAGGGGGTAGGACGGGGTGGGGGTTCTGGCATCTGCCAGGGACGGGGTGGGGGTTCTGGCACAGGTGGCTGCTAGCTGGGTGTCAGGAGGGGCTGGGGGGGGGGCAAAGGCGGTATTTGTGTGAGGTCGGTAGAGCCGGAACCAACCCGATATCCAAGCGGGGCCGCCTCACAGGCAGTGAGGCCTCTGCTGGTTTTGTGTTCTCTTTAAGAAGGAAAGCAGTTTCTAATCCCGGGAAACCCAGGGTATTCCCGTGTCACAGCTGCTGGGTGACCTGTGTCACCTGAGCTCCAGCTTTTGTATGGCCCGAGCAGATGCTGAGCCTCCGGCAGGATGTGCTGACTGAGGCTGGCACCTCCCCTGGGAGGCAGCCCTTCCAGCCCAGGGCTGCGGGGAGTGGGGACGAAAGAAAAACTGCCCGTGCTCTGCACACAGCCTCCTGACGCTGGGGCCCTAGGCCCTCCCGGTGTCCCACTCCTTCCCCGGGGCCTGGCCCTCACCCCCTTCTTCTGTGTCCCTCCAGGAATGCGGGGTAACCCCAGAAAGCGAGAATCTCACCCTGTCGTCCTCGGGAGCTGTTGACCAGTCGTCTTGTACAGGGACGCCGCTCTCTTCCACCATCTCCTCCCCAGAAGGTACACGAGGGAGCGGGAACGACTGCACATTCTTCTGCTCAGCCCAGTCCTCGGTGCTTGTCACAGCCCCTCCAGAGGGACTCGGGGCTGGCAGGGTGACACCTAGGTTGCACGAAAGCCAGGCCCCTCCCAGAGCCCAGGGGTTCTGCTGACAGCGGGGAGGGGCCTCCTCTTACCCCCGGCCTTGCTGTCTCGGGCTCCTTGAAGACCGAGTCAGGGACAAGCAGATCCTTGCCCTCGGCTTGAGTTCTGAGCTCCAAAGTGTGAGCCTCGGAAGGCCTGAAGCCTAGCGCTTGGTCAGTGAGGGCCTGGCGAGGCCACTAGAGTCCCCGCTGCTTGAGCACAGGGAGGCCGCTCCCAGAAGCCATACCTGACCTCCCGTCTCCTTCCTTCCACCCGTCTCCACAGACCCTGCCAGCAGCAGCCTGGCCCAGTCGGTCATGTCCATGGTGTCCTCCCAGAGCCAGCACTCCCAGATCAGCACTGACACGGTGTCCTCCATGTCCGGCTCCTACATCGCCCCTGGCACTGAGGAAGAGGGCGAGGCTCTCCCTTCACCCCAGGCCGCCAGCAGGGCCCCCTCCGAAGAAGGAGAGGTAAGAGGGGAGCACGGGCAGTGTCTCTGTTGCTCTGCGCGCTGCACACGTGTCCGGACTAGCTCAGCCCAGGGCCTGCGAGGGATTCCCGCCAGGCCCCGGCCGCGCTCGGAAGGGGGTGCCGTGGGAAAGGAGCTGGGGCTGCTGACTCAGACTCCGTCACGTCTGACTCTTCCCTCTGGTGCCACTTCTGTCCCGAGGACTCAGTTGGGGGTTGCTGCCCTACGGGCCAGGTAGGAGAGCCGGGGTGTCTGGGCCTTGATTTCTGGTTTGCTCCTAAGCAGGTGATGCTGGGGGCATCTCCGGACAGCAACTTTGTCGGCCTCACCGCCGAAGAGCTCGACGCAGAGGTACGGCCGGCGGGCGGCAGGGCTCCTCCCACCGGAGGGACCGTCAGCGCTGGTGGGGGACGCGATAGGCTGGGGGCTGTTCTGGAAGCAGCCTCCCGAGGCAACATGTTTGGCTCAGTTCGGGCTGGGCTGTGGTGTAGAGGGGAGAGCAGCCACACACGTTGGTCCATGGACTGTCCCTTAGCGCAGCGCACTGGTCGCCATGTAGCAGGCGTGGGGTGCATCCTGGAGGGAGCGCTTCCCAGCCAGACCCTGGACCTGAGGATGTGTCCGTCCTTCGTTCACTGAGTACTCACACAGAGTGTGTCGCAGGCACCGCCTGGCACTGGAAGACTTGAAGAGCCCAGTGACCTGGTCTTAGCCTCCCTCAGCCCCCCACCACCAGCTCTATATCCTCACCCGGGGGTGCCCGACTGGCTCGGTCAGTGGAACATGCAGTGCTTGGTCTCAGGGTTGTAAGTTCGAGCCCCACGCTGGTGTAGAGGTGACTAGAAAATAAATAAACTATAAACTCATCCAGGAGCCCCATGGCAGGTGGAGGGGACAGGATTATAGTTCACCCCAGAACGGCCTGGCAGAGGTGTTCAGGAAGCCCCGGTCGCAGTGAGGGCACTAGAACTTACCTTGAGCCAGACGCTCTCACGGGAGTCTCTGGATAGGGTTTGGGGTCCGAGGAATTTCTGGAACTTTTACAGTCTTTCTGATAGTCTGTCATTTGGCAATGTTTATGTCCACCTTCAAGAGACGGTATGAGCTGAACTCTTCCCAAGGCCATCCCTGACATCCCCTGGGTACAGCAGTAATGGGCCTCAGTCCTGGTCCCTGCCGGCAGACCGGTGCCTCCCCAAGCAAACTCCGCCTCTGCCAGGCCCCCCAGGCTTCTCAGACACAGAAGGGACTGGACGCTCTGGACAAAGGCCCTGAAGTGAGATACCATGAGGCCAGTTGCTTCCGTTTTCAGCTGATCAATATGTCCATTTTACTGCTTTTATAGACTCATAGCGCCTTCCTTCTGTCCTAGGGCAATGATGTTATAGAGGAAGAGGACGGATCGCCCACACAGGAAGATGGTAAAAGACCTGGTCTCTTGCTACCTCTTACTTGATTTCTTTCCTGGGTGTTCTTTAAAGGGTACAGAGAGGGGCCCTGGTATGACTCGGTGGCTCTACTCGGTTTTGTGGCCGTTGGGGAAAGCTTGTCTTCTTGACGGACTAGCAGGGCAGGCAGGGGATTTGACGACCGCAGTGGTGGTCTTCTTGGCTCTTTTAAGGCTTCAGTGCCAGGGATGTGAGGACGCAGCCGCTGCAGAAGGCCTGCGGGGAGCTCTGTATTTGCGTACTCGGGGTTCAACAGCTCCTGGGCCACCCCCTCACCTTCCTCCTCGCTTCCGCTTTCCAGCCGAGGCCCGCAGAGCTGCTCCAGTGGCCCTGATGTTAGCAGCGGCCGAACACTTTGTTCCACTTGGAAGAAAGGCCTGTCAGGCAGTTGGTTTGGTTTTGCTTTAGCAAAGGGGGGTGCCGAGACGTCTCAGTAGCAGAGGGTTAGGACCTTTGGGGCCAGGGGGCACTGAGAAGGTGTGAGAAAGTCCAACGCCCGAGGCTCAGCGCAGACAAGCATTTGCAAGCTGTCAGAACGACTTTCTTCACTGTAACTCGGGCCTCTGTTACACCTTCAGACGGAAGCGTTTTGTGTTCAGGAAGTCTGGGAGAGAAGGAACTATCTACAGAGCAAGGAAATGGGAAGAGGAGGCTGGGCTGGGAGAATCCCCCTGGGAATGCCCCCCCCACCCGCCCCGCCGGCTCCAGGAGCCCGCAGCTCTGCCCTGTGCTGCTCTGAGGGGCCTCCCGCAGAAGGGCACCTCCAAAGCAGACCCGGACCCCAGCCCGGATGCACATGTCATCCTAGCTGCTTCTGCTTTAGCTGGCCGTTGCTTGGGGAGTTCAGGGGTGTGCATGCTGGCCTGACCACTCTCGCCTGACCCAGTCACCCTGAAGGAGGGCCTGGCCACCAAGACTGTGCCTCTGCCACACTTGCACGCCAGCCCAAGACAGGGTCGGGCCCCCTCATGGACTCAGGGGACGCCTTCAGTACTCGAGGTTCCCAAGTCACCCTCTATGATCGCTCCCCCCCCCCCCACACAGAACGTTCGCTTCTGAAAAATGCAGGGTGGCAGGCGGTTTCCGCCTGACATTCCGTAGCCCACACGATGGATTTATGTTTTTTCCTCTCCCTTTCACCAAGAGAAAACCGGAGGCATGGGGAGAGCTAGGGAAAAAAAATCTGAACCCTTCCCCTTCCCTTTACACGTCTGTAGGTTTCTGCTCAGACCCTTGAAACATACTCAAAGTAACAAACTACGTTTCCTCGGAAAACAAAACATAATCTTGTGAATGTGGTGATCTCGACTAATACGCAAAATTATGGAACCTGAGACCTTAAGTTTTTGTTTTACGTGTTTATCATTTTACAGAGCCTTGTGGTCACAAACACCCGACAGGCCCCTGCAGATGCCGGCAGGACAGGGATAGCCTCTCTCTGCGCCCCGTGCGGCTCTCTGTGGAGCCCACATCCCTCAGCCCTCCCAGGGGCCAGAGCAGGAGACAGGGCAGGAGAGGGCAAAATCACAGACCCACACAACTGATTCCTTTATCGTCCACTCTCTACCCACTTAATTCCTGTCTTTTTTTTAACATATGATTTGATTTTTTTTTTTTTTTTTAAGGACAGCAGAGCAGAGAAAAAATATAGCCAGCCCCTCTCTAACTGCGTTAACTCCCTTACAGGCCAGAGGACATGCGCGTTTCTAGGTACGGAGTGTGGCAATAACAATGACTTTGGCACCGCCAGCGTGAAAGCACTGGACAATAAGCTGTGCCCTGAGGTCTGCTTACCTGGTGAGTGGCAGTCTCCTGAACATGAACTTGGTGGGAGACGCTCCCCTGCTCGCGCCCCTGCTCTCACCCTGGGACACCCACCTCCCTGCCCTGCCTTTCCTGCAAGAAGGCCTGGGCTGTGCTAGGATGCTGGAGCCAGATGCAGGAAGGAAGGGAGGCGGCCTCGGGAGAGTCCTTGAACTTTGTGCAGAGAGCAAACCCTGCCCTGAGCACGACTCTTGGGACAGGAAGACCGCAGTAAAGCCCCCTCTCCTTCCAAATTGGCCCGACCGTGCCCCCCTCCACCCCAATCCTGGGGGTCCCACGGCAGGTGGCCTGGTCTTATTCTCATCAAGAGGAAGTTTGAGGCAGACCCCTGCCTCTCTGAGAAGGTCTTGAAAGATAGCCTGAGCCCTTGAAAAGGGGATCTGATCCCCTAGCTCCTCGGAAGGAATGTGTCTAGTTAGGAGCAGGGAGGAATTTGAAAGCCGATGTGGTTTTAATTAGCACGTGGCTTTCTGAGCCAGTGAGCTGTGGGTCACCAGTCGCATTGTCCTTAATAGACTCAGATCCCAAAAGAAAGGTCAAGGGTCAAGGGTGACTCTGCTCCCTGGAGCCCTAACTTTGAATTTGGTCAGGACGGTCAGCGTGCCCCTTGTCCCTTCTGATGCTAAGCTGAACCTGGGGTACCTCTTACGTAGGAGCCGCGCTCGTCAATCACACTGAGCACTCACGTCCTTCTAGCCTATGTGTTCGTTCAAGGGCTCCGCGAACCGCTTCTCCGAAGCCACCCCTTGCCCAGGCGGACTAGGTCAAAACCGCCCTCCTGGTCTCACAGCAGAGACTGTCCTCCACACGGTGGTGTCTGTAGTCTTGTCACCGTCCCCTGAAATGAAGACTTACTCGAGCTTCAGGACAGCCACATCACATCACGGGTCCAGTGCTTTACTCGCTCAGCGAAACGGCTAGAGGCGTTGGAGCGCCCAGCCTCCTGTGGCGGCCGCTGTCCGTCAGCCTGTGAGAGACACCCGGCCTCACGCGCCTGGCCCCACGCAGACTGGTGGCCGGGCAGCCGTAATTTCCAGAAGACGCTTTCTCCCGCCTTTCAAAGGCCTCTCTCCGGGTTTTTTTCTATTTAGCGTGTCCTGAAGATACTGCCCAGGACTCCTCACGCTCCGTGAGGCCAAAAGATGCCATGTCCGTCCTCCTGCTTCTCCCGCCTGCCGGTGGAGGAGGGAGCGTGGACCCAGTCAGGCCTGGACTGGAGCTGTGGGGCCGGGGCACACGCCACTTCCTGCCTTCCCACTCCTCACCTCGCTTCCGTCTGTCCATTTGTTTTTCACGTCTTTTTGCCAAACGTAAATCTGTCTGTCTGGTTTGTTTCTTTTGAAGCTCATTTCTGTTACGTAGACTTCGTGTGGAAGTTCATGTTCACCACGCCAGCACTGTCCCCGCCCCCCTGGCCACGCTGTGTCCCACACCACGCTTGCTGGGCGCGCGCTCCTCCCAGAGGCTCCTGCTTGTGTCTCCAGTCCTAACTGGCAAGGGCCTGCATTTGATAGATTCTCCGAGAAAAAGTATTTGCAAGGATATATTAATCCCTGCACGTCCACAAAACATGGGGACACTTCTGTGGCGAGCATCGCGAGGAGGATTTGAATTGGCATCCCGTGTCACGAGCCGGGGAAGATGACATCTCTGTCCTCTCTGCCCTGTGTCTGTGGCCACTCTATAGCCGGTGGCTAGGCTCCTGTCTCCCCCCACCCCACCCCGAAGGGCAAGCCCCCCCTCCCGTTTTTTGGCAGAGGGAGCTGCTGGGAACTGTTCGAGCCAACCATGCTGGTGGCAGTGGAGCTTGTTCCTTCTGCTTCCTCCTCCTCCTGACCCCCTCGGCCAGCTGCTTGTTGATATTTATTCCACCTACGGGATTGCTTACGGGAAGAGGAAAGAACCCTTGGGGTTCCTTACGGTGCTGTCAGGGGCCAGCGGGCTGAGATGAAACTCGGTCCACTGTTCAGGCCAGTCGTGCAACCAAATGCCCGTGACGCCTGTCGGGAGAGCGACTTGGGTGGACGCACTTGAGGTGTCTTCCGGGAGAAGGCACGTCTGCTCTCTTGGTGAACTGTTTCCCTGGTTCTGCTCTTGGTGTCACACTGGTGCAGTGGGCTGGGGAACTCCCGGGAAGCACCCGCTGGGTGAGCAGCAGGCGTGTCCACTTGTGTGGGTCCCGTGGAATAAATAGGCCTCTCCCTGCTCAGCTCCCAGTCCACACTTCCGCCCTGTGCCTGGGACGCCCGCGGGCCGGGGCCGGCTACAGGCTGTGCGGCCGTCAGGACGGCTTCTCAGGCACTTGGTCTCCGCTTGAGTCTGTTTCCCTCTCCAAGTGGCGCCGCTCCCTTCACGGAGGGCCGAGGAGAGGCCGAGCCGCGGGGAGCATCCCATGCTTGTCCCTGTGCCACACGCACCCTCCCCACGCTCACGTGCGCCCAGCTGGTGACAAAGACCACGGGGGTCCCCATCCTCACCACTCTCATCACACTCGTGGGAGTGTCACTGAGAGGGCACCCGTGTCCCGCCAGCCCTTCTTCCCCTAAGAAGCTTCTGAGCCTTCTTGGGCCCCAAGACCAAGGGGGTGGCATGATCTGAGATTGTTCTGGAAGGTCTCAGAGGGAGAAAGTCGATGTGGACAGGTGCGGGTGGTGAGCAGGTTAGAACTGTGAAGCCAGGCTGAGTAGATGTGGTTCCGGGGAATTGGAATATCACACAGGTGGCGAGACAGTGGCCAGGGGACCAGTGATAAGTCTGTGAACAGGTTCTGGGTAGTGTATGTGGTGGGGAAAAAAAAGCAAAATCGTTAGGGTTTTTTGGTGGAATTAGAAATATATTTTTAAATGACCTCATTGTGCAGGAGTGGAGGTCCCCAAGGAAACAGCAACACCTACAGAAACCTGAAATTCAGTTCACTCCTCTCTTCGGGCCTTGTGACCTGAGACGGAGATGCTGCTAGGAAAGCTTACGCTTCCTGGACACGAAGGGAAAATCTGAACTCGGTTTCTCTTTCCACTGGAAACTCTTCGAGACCATCAAACTATTCTAGTGCTCATGTCTCATCCGTGGCTTGGTAGAGGCAGGAAAAGGGGGTGTGGAATTCCCCCTAAGTATGCTCCCCAAATCTACCTCTAGAGGTCTCTCTGCTCTCCGTCTCTCCTCTAGATGGGCCCTAAGGGAAAGCCCCTTGCTGTCTCCAAGAAGGATTTTCAGTGCCAAGCTCCAGGGTCTGGCTGGAGGGCCTGGCGGAGCAGCAGGAGAGCGGTCACAGGGTTTTGCTGGGGGCCCATCAGACCCCTTGCTGGGGGGGGGGGCCCTCGTTATTGCGGCTCAACCTCCCCCTCACCACCAAGTCAATCAAGAAGCCAGGGAGAGCAGATACTAGAGCTCTGAGTCTTGAGGCTATTCCAGAAGGAGCGGGTTTTGACCCTGCAAAGGACCCTAGAGCGGTGGAGCTGGGAGCAAGGACTCCCGTGAATTCAGAGTCAGGACGGCCTGCCGGTCCTGCGTCCCGTGGCGCCCTGGCTGGCGGCAGCGGCGGTGTGGATTGTGACGTGTGCGTGCGTGTGTGTCTTCTCTCTTGTTCACCGTTTGCTTTTGGTCTCTCCCACTGAACAGCCGCCGTGCCGGAGTCCTGCCCCATAAACATTGAGGACTAGGTATGAGATCTACCGAATTCTCTAAGTGAACGAACAACTCATTGCATTCTGGGGGTTCCTAACCTAAAAGACAGTCTTGCCTTCTCTTCATCCCATCATGCTTGCGAGTGCCACCCTTCTAGAGGGGAAAGCACTTCTGACCCATGTCCCAGACTCCAGGGATTCCATCTGGATTACGAATTTTCTGTGTCGCCCACTTCTCTTCCCCGGGGGCCCACCTCCACAGGCTGATGTTAGAGCCTTAGGATGGATTATCACTCCAGGACCCTTAGGGGAAATAAGCAGTTTATACCTACTTAATCCTAGTGTTCGGACCACTAGTGGGGCTTGGGCTGGCTCTTCCATGCGGCTGGCCCCAGACTTTGGAGCACAGCCCCCTGAAACATGAGCACAGTGAGATTTGGGCCTGCCCACCACCGTGCACCCGGGCAGCCGGGTCCGTCGCCCACTAGAGTCTTCCAAGAGGCCAGGCCGGCCCCAGAGGAGGGCAGGGGTTCCCGGTTCCCTTGCAGTGTGAGATGTGCACGGTGGCGGCCAGACAGGTTAGGGGGCACCGTGGAGCACGCGTGCCTCCCCAGGCTGGGGGGCCTTGTGACAGTGGGCCGTGGCAGGTGCAGCTCCGGAGGGCTGCGGGGAGGGGGAGGTGGCAGGCGCGGGGCCCCGTGCAGTCAGGTCTTCACCCAGGGCCTCTGCCTCTCAGGGAGGTTCGTGCTGTCCCGGAGGGATTGGATGAGTTTGTTTGGGTCAAGAGGACAGTTGAGGGGAGACCCTGGGAGAGGGGAGGGTGGCCTGAAGAGAGCGTGGGGGCTGGTGGTTGAGTGCGCCCCTGTGAGTCAGTCCTGCCAGATGAGCCCTCAGCCCCCATGTGACCGGTGGGAGAACCAAGCCTTCCAGTGAAGTGAGCTGCCCAGGAGCGTACAGCCAGGCAGGAAGGACCCCGGAGGGAAGCTCAGGTTTTCTGACCACAAGCAGACAAGCAGGAGGTCATGATGGATTAAATCCAGAGCGCCGAAGACAGGGGAGACAAGAGCGGGCTTCTGGCCCCAGCAGCCGGTGCTCAGCGTACAGGAGCTGCGGCAGATTTGGGGGAGGATGAGTTTAGTGGGTGCTGCCTAGGGGACCCGGGGATCCCAGGGCCCTCGGGCTGGCGTCTCCTGGGGTTGATGGTGACCTCAGCGGGCTGCCTGGGGCAGGAGGGGGGCTGGAGCCATCGCACCAGCTCCCCCCATGGCCTTCTGTCCCCAGTGCTCTGCTGGGCTACCAGCCCCTTCCTGCCCCACCCAGCCCCCACAGCAAACACTAACATGCTCTCCCATCCCCCGCCACTGCTTCCTGCGAAAACCTCTGCTAGACCTGGTTTCTTTCTCCTCTCCACCATAACACACAGGCACACTTCAGACAAATAAAGACACAGAAGTAGGTGGCAGGGCAAGTCCGCAGAACGAGAGATCCCCTGTACGTTCCTCTCTGTCAGCGGTCTCCACGGTGGCCTGGCCGTACCTAGCCCGTTAGGACAGGAGCCGTCCCCTGCGCCCCGTTCTCTCTCCCTCGCTGTGGCCCGCACACACATGGGAGTTTCAGATGACACGCGCGCTGCTCACCTCCGTGCCGAACTCCTGGGCCATCGTGCTGGAGAGGCCATCTGGACCTGGCCGGAGACCGGCTCCTATACCCTCCCCTCTCCTCTCCAGGCGCCTGGCAGGCCGATGACAACATCGTCAGTCGTCGGAACGCTCAGCGTCGGCGCTTATCATCCAGCAGCCTGGAGGACCCCGAGGACAGGCCCTGCGTGTGGGGTCCCTTGGCCGTCTGAGAGCCCCAGCCCGTGCACCTGGGCTCCCTCCTGCCCCACCTTCCATCCCAGCCTCACTGGGCTGCTGGCCTCCCGGGTGTCCCCCACGAGAGCATGAAGACTGCATCCAGGTGATAGCTGGACGTGGAGGTCTGCCTGCTCCCGCTCCCAGCCCGGTCTCCATAACCATGCCCCTTCCCTCCCAGAAGGATCTGGAAGCCTCCTCTCTCCTCGTGGGCTGGAGCCTCTCAACGAACTGCAGCTCAGGAGACCCTTTGCAGAGACTCTCTGGAACGTCTCCCCCCGGTCTGGATCTTCAGGAGGAGCCGAGGTCCACAGGCTGCTTGTTTCCCATCTTTCTCTCCTTCGGGGCGTACCGACAGGACCTAGAGTTTTGGCAGCTTCATTACAGACACCCGTCTGGCATATTCTGGTCTCTGAAACATCATAAGCAATTTGAACCCTCCATTTGAGGGTGGAGCTGGGGATGGCTCCTGGGAGAAGGGAAAGCCGTTTTGCACTCAAAGCCAAGTTTCCCTCAAAAAGCTTTAGGAGCTCCTTTGTCAAGGATGAGAAGCGGTGGCAACCAAAAGGTTGGTTGAGAAAACAGTTCTTGCTTCTGGTCACAGAGCTAGTGTCCTGTGCCTCGTGTGTCCGCTTAGGGAGGAGGCCTTGGATCTGACAACCCCCCCAGGTACGTGATCCCCCTTAGGAGGGCCGTTTACGGTCAGGTGCGTTTATGAAGGCCTGGGATGCCATCTTAAGGTGACTTTTCCAAAAAAACCCCCACCTTTTTGGCCCCTTCTACGTACCAGGCACTGTTAGCTGCCCTATAGTTTCACATTTCCTCGCTGTACCCCGTCAGGTGGCATCCTACGCCTGTTGTCCCTGTCTTCGCCCCTTCGTGTTAGTAGTTGAAGAAATAGGCTGAGGGAGGGGTGGCACAGTGACCCCCACACTGGTGCCCAGGAATCCCAAAGAAGTGCTGGAGCCCACTGCCGAGCGGAGGCTAGCGGTGATGGGAGGCCTCCCTGTCCCGCTGGGTTTTCTTCCCTGTTTCCTCCCCTGCCTTCCAGATCCGCTGAGCCTGGGGCGGGGGAGGTAGTCCTTCCCCAGGCTCTTTAGAGATTCAGAGATACTGTTCAAGCCGTGTGCCCCCGACCCCTCCAGGGCCCCATGTAAGGCGTGTAGACAGAAGTCAGAAACAGCAAGGCCAGGCTGTAAGCTGTTGGGACTTACTCCTTCTCCCTCAGCACCGGTGTTGCCAGTCGGTTCTAGCTGGTTCTTGGACAGATGTATTGTTGACTGGCTTTGGGAAAAGGTGGCCTCCTAGCGGAGCGTGAGCTGGGGAAGCCAGGTCAGACACAGCCACTTGTGAGGCCGAGATGCCGCAGGGCCTTGGGCTCTGCCCGTCGTGACAGCCTGTCTTCATATTTGGAGTCGTTACCCTGAAGGAGTTTTTCAGGGCTGCTTCCAACACCCCAAAGAGAGCCCAGTGCCCAGGGAATCTTCACACCTTCTGTGTGGCTTCTTTGCACTGTCAGGCCTCGTGGTTATGCCTCAGGTCCTGCCCTGGTTGGGGGAAAGCCTGTTGTCCTAACCTGACGTCAACCAAGCCGGAATCAAAGCTTCTGTCCTGAATCCCCATGTTCCCCTCTCCCTCCGAGGTCCTGCGGGGGACTCTGCTGCTTCAGGCTCCTGCCTTTTCTTTCCTCCAACATTCCTCCAGCCCCTTTTGTGTTTGAGATTGGAGCAATAACCCCACTCCTGATTTCCTTGAAGTTTAAGCCCCAGGGAATGGGGAGCGTCCCTTAGCCTGGGGCGGTGGCACACAGCCTCCCCTCCTCTCCTAGCAGGTCATGTAGTCACGGTGTGGTGTTACCTGAGGTGAAGGAGATGCAGGTAAACAGTAGCCACGGTGGCCAGGAACCCTGAGAGGAACCCATTATCACCCTCTTCTGAGGAGGGCCTGCCTGTGTCCTTCCTCACAGCACATGCTGGGCCCTCCCCCCAGCAAGAGGCTCACGAGGATTCTTCAAGGCCTTGGTTCCATAATTGATACATGCCTGGGTTAGAAATGGCCCTTTCACTCCTGTTCCTCAGACCAATCCTCCATATCTCTCTCTCTCTCTCTCTCTCTCTCTCTTCTCTTTCCCCTCTTTGTTCTTATTTGGCTCTTAGGCAAGCAGAAATATCCCACCCAAAGTTGCTGGTCGTTAGTCAGCCCGGTCAGGGAATAGCTGCCAACCCTATTGCCCCACTGCGTCACCCGGAGACCGTCGTGTTCCGAGCAGCTGACCCAGAGAGAAGGGGCTGGGGCCTGGCTCTTCACTCCAGGGCGCAGACCACCTGGAGGCCTGTGGCTCCTCCCACCAACTCCAGCCCCAGGTCTGAGCTCTCCGCTGGCCTCCAGGTGGTGTGGCCATCCTGGCCTTTTTTCCTTCCTCACCCAGTTCCACCCACAGAATTTATGCCCACGCTGGGGCATCTCCTGGGCACAGACCCACACACTTCGAGCCGTCTCACCTGGGGAGAGTCGTGTCCTGCCGCCTGACACTGGCATGCTGGTTCTGCACTTTAGGACCTGCACACCTGGTGTGTGCACGTGTGCGTGTGTACTGTTTGTGCCATCCGTGTACCCCTCTCACTCACTGGAGTACACTCGTGGGCACGCTACAGTGGGGACATCAAGGATGCAATATTTATGGATTGCTGCATGATTCTTAAAAACGAATAAAACTGTTTACAAGGGAAGGAGAGCTGGTAATTGTGCCCTTGGCTTGTTTGTGAAAGTCTCTGACTTTGTCCAGTGCTCAAATATTTTTACTCAAGAGAATCTAGAAGTGGAGGAGTGGGAGAGGACAAGGGGTCGGGAAAGCCATGCTACCGGGTGGGAGGTGGGAATTGACGTGCGCCCCCCCCCCCCCCCCCCCCCCCGCATAGCCTTCCCACCCCGCCCTCCTGCTTCTGGGCAGAGGCGTGAGTAAGGAGCCCTCACCCTACCCTCACCCTTGAACTGGATAACTTCTGCCACTGCAGCTCCTCAATAATTGAAGAGCCCGAAAGCTGGTGGCGGGAGGGACGCAACCCCTAGTCCTTGCTACTTAAAAAGTTGGTGACACTAACGGGGCAAATGACCCTGCGAAGAGAATTCGGTGAGTCCGTGGCTTCTCTGAGTTTCACTCACCCGCTCAGTTTCCTCCGCTATCTGAAAAGGAGGGAAAGCCCTTCCGCAGAAGCCTCTGGAAAGTCAGCTTCCGGGAGCCTTGCTGAGTACAGGGCTGGGGAAGGAGCCGCTTACCGGGAAACCCTACCCGCCTTGGGGCGTCTGGGATCCGTGCAGCCCCGGCGGCGGACCCGAGCGGCAGGTGGCATCGGAGAGCCGGGCCTGCTTGCGGGCACCGAGACGACGCTCGGGGTCGGGAGGGTGGGAAAGGGCAGAGAAACGTGAGCCCAGATGGGAGGAAAGGAAACCCCAAGCACACGGTGCCCGAGCCCGAACCCGCTCCCAGTCTGGGCCGCCCCGGAGCAGCGGGGACGCAAGGGAGCAAGGCCGGGAGAGCGGCGGCGGGGGCAAACGGCTCGCGGGCGTGCCCTGCGCCTCGGGCGGGAGCCGCGCGCCTCTCCCGAGCCCTGCGCGGGGCCCTCGGGCGGGAATGCGCGGACCCGGGACGCGGTGGCGGGTAGGGGGCTGGGTGGCGCGGGAGAGGGCGGCAGAAGGAGGGAGTTCCAGGAGAGTTACCGCCCGAGAGAGTGGCTAGAGCCCGCGGTCTCCTTGGAAACGTGCTGACCAATAGCAGCAGCGGAAGCTGTTTATGGGGGCGGAGCGTCGCCATGACAGCAGAAGAAGCCTTTGCAGCGGCTACTTAATGCCGGTCCGGGGGCCACGGGCGCTCAGAGAGGCGCCGTCGGGCGGGGGGAGCGACAAGAGGCGCTGGCGGGGCCCTCGAGCTGGGAACAGAGAGCCGTGGGGGGGTGGAAGGAACTTCTTCCAGAACCTTCCTTTGGCCCGGGCTGCGCTCTGAGCCAGGTAAGGGACTGAGACGGCAGTGGCCGCGGGAAGGGAGGGTGTCCGTACCAGCCCGCTCTACCATCCGCCCTCGACGGAAGTGGTGGACCCGGGAATGACATCTGAGTTTGGGGGACACTTACTTATCGCCCCCCTCTAACTCCTATCCTGTTTCCTTCCTTCCCTATTATCCCCCATCCTAATACCTCTTTTCAAAGACCAGACGACCTCCCCGTCCCCCGCCCGGTGATACTGCCCTCCCGGACTCCCTCGCCCCATTTCCACTTGTTGAGGGGAGGGGGGCTGATTTCCTGCTCTGGAGGAAAAAGTGATAGCCTCAGAGGCCCCTTCGCTGTCCCCTCCTTTGGCTACCAAAGTCTCTTCTAAAACCTCGGAGAGAAAGGAGAGACGGGCCCAGTGGGGGTCGGACCCCCACCCCGGCACTGCTTCTGTCTCCCAGACCTCGGCCAGAACAGATCCTCCCCAGCAGCGGGGACGATTTTCGGGGAGCCGCCTCGCACGCACGCTCCCCTCGGGGGTGGGGGAAAGCGCTCAGCTCCCGCTGTGGTCCTCCCCAGCAGATACCGCATTCATATTCGGAGGAGACGACCCCCTGGTCGCCGCGGGATGGAAGCGCGCGTCCGGGAGGCCCTGTAACTGGAGCCGCGGGAGTCAGAGAGCTAGAGAGCGCGGCGCGCTACCCCCGGCTCAGCCCGTGGATGTTGACCGCCCCCTCGGAGAGTCCCCGCAGACATGGCGGAGAGCTGGCTACGCCTCTCGGGTGCAGGGGCGGCGGAGGAGGCCGGGCCAGAGGGCGGTCTGGAGGAGCCCGACGCCCTGGATGACAGCCTGACCAGCCTGCAGTGGCTGCAGGAATTCTCCATTCTCAACGCCAAGGCCCCCGCCCTGCCGCCGGGGGGCACCGACCCCCACGGCTACCACCAGGTGCCAGGCTCGGCCGCGCCGGGGTCCCCCCTGGCGGCCGATCCAGCCTGCCTGGGGCAGCCGCACACTCCTGGTAAGCCCACATCGTCGTGCACGTCGCGGAGCGCGCCCCCGGGGTTGCAGGCCCCGCCCCCCGACGACGTGGACTACGCCACCAACCCGCATGTGAAGCCGCCTTACTCTTACGCCACGCTCATCTGCATGGCCATGCAGGCCAGCAAGGCCACCAAGATCACCCTGTCGGCCATCTACAAGTGGATCACGGACAACTTCTGCTATTTCCGCCACGCTGATCCCACCTGGCAGGTAGGGGAGGCGCGGGTGGCGGCCGCTCCCTCCCCGCTCCCCTCCTCCTCCCCATGCCAGGGCGGACTGGACTCAGGTTCCAGGTCCGCACCCCAAGTAGGCTTGGTGCAGCCAGGGCCCAGGGGAGGAAGGCCATCGAGGAAGGACCTCAAGGGAGCCTAGGGCTTGGAACTGTCCCTCCTTTGACATCAGAAAGGGAGGAGGGAGGATATTTAAAGGGCTTTAGAAAGGATGCAGACCCCGAAATTCATGGGGGAAGCACCTGTCACTCATCCAGTAGACCCAGCCCAGAGGCCAGGGCCAGACTGTGTGTGCACATGGTCCCCTAAGAGGATGATGGACTAAGGGACACATTTTTGTCCCAAGTCCTCGAGTTCCTAGACACCACCCCGCCGAAGGTCACTTGTCAAGGCCCGACTCAGAATCGGATGCTGGAGCATCGCCCCTGCCAGGCTCTGCATCCTGCCTTGTCTCAGTGGGCTGGTGGGGGTTGGGGCTGGGGAGAGGCAGTGGGGTGTGAAGGCCAGCTGTGTCCCAGAAGTGGGTCTATGGGGCCTTCCTAAAGTAAAGCTGCTGCCCCAGCCCCCCACCCCAACTCCTCCCCAGTTTCCTGCCTCCTGTCCTCCCCCTCTTCTCAGTCAGCCTCCCTGGGGGGACAATTACCTGAGCCAGGTGCTTTCCACAGGGGCTCTCCCTGCCGCACTGGCTTCATGTTCCAAGTCTCCGGAACCTGGCACAGAGCAGCCAAGGGGCCGGAGCCTCCATGTAAACATCCCAGCCTTGCCAGGGGGCGCGACCCACCCACCCACCCTGCCTTCTGGGCTCTAAAACCCTGTCCGCCAGCATGGTTTGGACAAGACGATGCACCCAGGAATGAACAAGGCAGGATGGTGATCTGAGGCCACGCAGACACGAGTCCGCCGCCATCAGAATCAGGGGCTACTTAGGGACAGAGGCCCCAGAACATCCGGACTTTTCCCGGGGCCACCCGCAGGGAGCAGACCGCAGAATGGCAGTCCCAGACTCTTCCACATTTGTGTGGGCCCTCACTCTGGGGCAAGCGCCATTGGTACCCTCATTGAGAAAGCAGAGACATCCCCAGCCCCCACTCTCCCCGAAATCTGTGGAGTTCAGGGCCTCAGGAACGAGGGCTGTGCTCTAGGCTGGGTAATCATCAACTGTGGCCTCAGAGCCTGGGTGGGAGGAGGGGGCCATGCGGGCGAGGGCCCAGGCTGGCAGGTAGCCAGCTCAACAAACAAGGAAAAGTCATCAGGTCCCCCCACACTTCACCCCTATACGCTCGGAGCACACACCCTCACACCCCGGCTAGCCCCGTTCCCCGCACCCCTGCCTCAACCCACCCACTCACTTCACAAACAGAGAGGGCCCGCCAGGCCCAGGCTGAGTGAGATGGCCGTCCAGGCCCTGGGGGAGCTGAGGCCTTTGGCCAGAGGCCGCAAGCGGTGGGGTAAGGGAGGGAGGGCAGGGCGGGGTGGCACGGCGGCGAGCCACCCCGCGGCTCAGGGCTCGGATGACTGAGCAGGCAGATATCCCGGCAACAGGGAACAAAAGCCCCGACAGCACTCCCGGCTCCCGGTGCCCAGTGGCTGGTGTCCCAGAGCCACTGGTCAGAGCGGTGCGTCCGTCCGTCCCTCCTCCCGTGTGGCCAGGAGCGCCCGTTGCCCCCCATCGCTGGCCCTTCCCACTCACCCAGCGACCTCTTTCTCTCCTCTCCCCCCGCGCCCAGAATTCCATCCGCCACAACCTCTCCCTGAACAAGTGCTTCATCAAAGTACCCCGGGAGAAGGACGAGCCGGGCAAGGGGGGCTTCTGGCGCATCGACCCCCAGTACGCCGAGCGGCTGCTCAGCGGGGCCTTCAAGAAGCGGCGGCTGCCCCCGGTCCACATCCACCCGGCCTTTGCCCGCCAGGCCTCGCAGGAGCCCCGCGCCGCCCCGTGGGCCGGGCCGCTGACCGTCAACACCGAGGCCCAGCAGCTGCTGCGGGAGTTCGAGGAGGCCACCGGGGAGGCGGGCTGGGGGGCGGGCGAGGGCAGGCTCGGCCATAAGCGCAAACAGCCGCTGCCCAAGCGGGTGGCCAAGGTCCCGCGGGCCCCCAGCACCCTGCTGCTGACCCAGGAGGAGCAGGGCGAGCTGGAGCCCCTCAAAGGCAACTTTGACTGGGAGGCGATCTTCGAGGCCGGCGCCCTGGGCGGCGAGCTGGGCGCGCTGGAGGCCTTGGAGCTGAGCCCGCCGCTGAGCCCCGCCTCGCACGGGGACGTGGACCTCACCATCCACGGCCGCCACATCGACTGCCCCGCCACCTGGGGGCCTCCGGGGGAGCAGGCCGCCGACAGCCTGGACTTCGACGAGACCTTCCTGGCCACGTCCTTCCTGCAGCACCCCTGGGACGAGAGCGGCAGTGGCTGCCTGCCCCCGGAGCCCCTCTTCGAGGCCGGGGACGCCACCCTGGCGGCCGACCTGCAGGACTGGGCCAGTGTGGGCGCCTTCTTGTAAGAGGCCGGGCCCCGCCCCACCTCCGGACAGTGCCCAGGTCAGGGCCCAGACTGCCCCCCAGCACAGGCCCCTGGGGACACCCTACCGCCCAGGCGGGGGCTGGGCCAGGTCTCCCGAGGCTGGCCCCACGAGGCCCCATGGTCCCCAGCCCGGGCTGCCCTCAGCCCCGGAGGCTGAGAATGGGGGAGGGGGGGGCCCAGGTCCAGAATTGCTGCCTCCCCGGCCCCCCGCCCCCCCATACACACAGTGTTTCATGGCTCCTCCTCTCGCCAGCCCCCCGCAAAGGGCTCAGGACCCTGCCCTGTGGGAGCTGCACCTGGAGGGGCCCTGGCCAAGCTGGGGAGCAACAGTACAGGGCCCGCCCCAGGGCACCTCAGCTTCGACGCCTCTCCCTCTCCCGCTGTCCTCCCCAGGTCTCTATCCAGAAAAAGTTCCCAGGTACAACAAATGCTAATTAGGTGACAGCAAATTAACCCCCTGGAGGCCTCTTCCCGCAAAGCCTCCCTGGGGCTGGGGAAGGGTGGGGGCGGGGTAGGGCTGGGGGGAGGGGGCAGAGGGCCCTCGCAGAATGGGGCAGAATGGGGTCGGGGAGCCCGGAGGGCAAGGAGGTTTTCTGAGGCCCCTGGGGTCTTCTCCTGGCCCCATCCCTGGAGCTGGGGCAGAGAGCGTAAATCCCTAATCTTTGAGCCTGACTTGAGGCAGAGCGCAGCGGGAAGTTGGGCTTCTGGGGGGTTGGGGGCAGGGGCAGCAGAGCTGCGGTGGGGAGGACAGACAGACTAATGTAGTGAGTGTAGCGATAGCCGAGGCTTAACAGGGAGGGATGCAGAGCTTGCTAGAACCTCTGGGACCAGGAAGGCGGGGATCACCGGCATCCTCGTCTGTACTTGCTGGGGGCGAGTCTCCCTCTACCCGGAGCCCCTCCGTCCCCGTCCCGCAGCCACCCTCCTGCCCTGTGGGGCAATTTAACCTTTTTCATGGAAAGTTATTTACAATAAACACATTTTTAAAAATAAAATGTTTAAAAATCTGAAAATGGACCTGCTTGCAACTTTAGGGCCAGTGTGGGAGGAAGGAGGTCGTTCTCTTCACTGCCAGAGGGGGAATGGCTGGGAGGAAGATGGGGGGCGCCGAAGACCTCAGGAGTCCCCCTCCGATGAACTCCCCATGACCTCTGTGTCCCCAGGGAGAAAGGGGCTGAGAGGCAGCCCCCTGGGGTCCCCTCCAGCCTGGGGCCTCAGCACCTCCATCTGCACAATGGGGAGAATGGCACCCTCAGCCCTAGGGAGTGGGCGACAAAGGAGACACAGCCCCCTCCCTGGTCCTGGGTACTCGCAGGGGCCGAGCCCGCCCAGGGCCCAGCTCACGTGTCCCTGACCGCCAGGGCCTGCCCGGGCTCGCCTGTCTTGAGTCTGCGGTCCTGGCCCAGGCCTGTCTCCAGCACCACCCTCCCTCGGTCCTCTCCTGGAGGGACAGGGTGTGAAGCCAGAGAGCCCCAGCCTGGCGCGTGCTCACCAAGCCTTGAGCCTTCCCTCCCAGGCCCAGGGTAGGCTGGAGGAGAGGGAAGGCCACTGGGGAAGTCAAGGTGCCCAGACCCTGCTTCCCCTCTCGCTCACACCAGCAGGTGCGCTCCGGGAGGGACCAGAGTCCTGAGGGGGAAACCAAGGCACAGGAAATGTGTGTGGGGGTGACACACAGCGGCACCTTTCCCTCCCAACACCCCAGCTTTGTCTGGCACCCACTTCTCCACCCAGCCCCCTTCCACACACGGGGCACAAATGGGCACTGTCTCGCACAGCCCTGCCCAGCCTCCACGGACCCCTTCCTCCCGAAGCCCCTTTCTTTCCCTTCTCTCAAGTCTGGCGCTAGGCCAACCTGGCATTCCCAGTGCTAACTTGCGGCTTTCAATTGCTAATTATTCCAAATATTTCAGGAGGGCGCACACACTGCTGGGCCAGCGGGGTGGGGCCTTCCTGAGCCCAAAGCCAGCCCACCCCCGCCCACAGCAGGCTGAGGAGGTCTGCCCTCCGCTGAGACTCTCTTCACCGCCCCCCATCGACTCCTCCCTCCCTCTCTACCCACCACCCACCAGCCTTTCTCTCTACAGTGCCCAGCAGAGGCCTTCTCCAGGGACCCCCAGGGTCAGCCTCCAGCTCTGGCCAAAGGGGGGGTGGGGTGGGGCCTGGGCATTAGCATTTTTAAGGGTCCCCACATGCTTCCAATGTGTAGCAAAAGCGGGGAGGCTCTTCTTCTTCTTCTTTTTTTTTTTTAAAGATTTTATTTATTTATTTATTTGACAGAGATCACGAGTAGGCAGAGAGGCAGGCAGAGAGAGGAGGAAGCAGGCTCCCTGCTGAGCAGAAAGCCCCATGTGGGGCTCGATCCCAGGACCCTGGGATCATGACCTGAGGTGAAGGCAGAGGCTTTAACCCACTGAGCCACCCAGGCGCCCCACGGGGAGGCTTTTCTGAAGGGGCTGGGCCCCTGGGCTTGGCGTGTGCGCTCTCAGCCCGCAGCATCAGGGAGTGTGGAGAAAGCATGCACCTGCCGCTTATCCCTCCCATCCATCCCTGCTCTGGTCCTCGGCCGGGTGGCTTTTTAACAAAGGTGTTCATTTACCTCATATTTATTTATAAATTCAATGTAATCCCAATCTAAATAGATTTCACACCATTTCCCGGTAAGTTGCTGACCTGATGCCCTTAGCACTAAATACATTGGCGTCTGTTTCCTTCGAATAAGGACTTTCCCCTGTAAGCCCAGCGCCACTGCGGCAGCCCGGAAACGGAGGCGGCAGATGGGTGACCCCCACTAACCGCACACCCCCATTCTGCAGAACGCCCCACCCCCAGCCTCCCACATCTAGTGAGTGGTCCTATTTCTTTGTGACTTTGTCCCCATGACCCAAGCTCTCCAAGCAGGCTCCTCGTGTCCTCTGATCCCCCCCCCACCTTTGAGGTGAGAAGCCCCCCGGAAATCACTTCATGCTTGAGTCTGGGGACAGCGCCTTCCGAAAGCAAGGAGGCAGCCTCCAGCCTTTAGACAAGCTACCTTTTCTGCCCTCCTCCCTCCAAGTGTCCCCCCAGCCAGGAATGTGATGGGGGGATGAGCAGAAGCTCAGACCTTGGGAGCCTCCCACTCCCTGCCTCAGTACATCCCTGTTCCATGGGAGAGGCCGCCCCCCAGCGCCCCCAAATCACTTTCCATGTCTGGAGGACCCCACCCCCACCCCACGCCCCACTCTCGGGGGGGGGGGGGGGGCGCGACCAGGAGCAAACAGGCCAGGCCCCCTGCAGAGCCGAGGGCGGGGCTGGCTCTCCACCCCACCCCCACTCCAGGACCCACACTTGCAGGAGGAGGAAGGTGAGAATTGGGGAGAGGTGGGCAGGGTCAGGAGATCTTCCATCCCAGGCAGAGGCCTAAAGGCAAACAGGTGTATTTGGACTCCTGGCAGGGGGCAGTGGGCTGGCCACATGGGGCAGGCCTGGGCCTGTCCAGGGTGGGGATGTGGCCAGGAGACCTTCATTAACAATGGGACGGCCAAGTGGCCCCAGGTCTTGCTGACACAGTCTTGTGTGATGAGGAGGAAAACACAGGTGAGAAGGGAGGGGAGAACCCTGGGGTAGGGGACAGGACTTTGTGAAGCCATCCACACTGGGGGCACCCCTCTGATCACTTGTATGACAGCCCTGGGGGAGGGGAGTCACCTTCCTCCTGAGGCCCAGGTGTCCATCCCAGGTCCCAGTCGTTGGCTCCTCCCAGGTGGGACAGGTCAGAGCCACGACCATGGAAGGTGTTGGGCCTGGGCTTGCCCTGGGTGTCAGGAGCAGGCAGGGCCCAGCTGGCGGGCGCTGCCCCCCAGAAACCAACCGGCCTGAGCTGACCGAGTGAGGTGGGTGCACATTAACCAGGGGGAGCGACCGGGCCGGCGGTCTCAATTTGCCCCCGCGCCCCGCTTCCCGGGCTCCCAGCACAACCTGTCACCCTGCCTGAGGCTATCCCTGGGGCTGGCCCCAGACCCTCTTTCCCTCTGAAGGAAGCTGAGCTCCAGGGCAAGCAAGAGCTCCAGGTTCCAGAAAGTGGGGAGGGCAGGCTGCTTACCTATAGCCCGCCCCCCCCCAGGCCTCCAGGGGAGCCTCTGAAGGACTGCCCAGGCCCTCCGAGCCCCCCATTTGCCCAGAAAACGGAGCTGAGGCTCAGAGGCTGCCCAGTCTTCTCTGTTCCCGGCTGAGGCACCACCACTCTGTCAGCCCCCTGCTCCCACACAGGCCACCCAACCTCCTCTACGCCTCACTCTGGGCCCTGAGCCCCTGCCTTTATCCCAGAGGGCATCCCAGTTCCCTTGAACTTGCTCACAGTGGGCTGTGGCCCTGTGTTGGCGGGGCAGGCAGGGTGGAACGGAGGGGGCCCCCAGCCCCTGCCTCAGTGTTCAGCCTCTGAACCCTCAAGTCTAGACCCCTGGGGGCAGATGAGCTGTGGGTCTCACTCACCCAGACATTCACAGGCTCGAAGACAGTGCCGTTGTTTCCTAAGTGTTGAACGAATGAAGAGGGCATGAGCGAGCCGTCTAGGTGTATGGGTAAAAAGTAGAAAAACATCCAAGTAGCCTTGGCAAGATGCCACTGAAGACAGTGAACACGAAGGGGCTCTCTGGAGGCATCGGTGGGGGTTAAGAAGGTTCCAGAAGCCCCCAGGGCAGGGAGGTGGTGGTGAAAGTGCTCAGGCCAGGGGGATCTTTGAGAAAAGCTCCAGTCCACCCTATTCTGGAAACAAGTAAGAGGCCCCTTTGCTGAACCTGTGGGTTGGACTGGGGTAATAAAAGGGCCGGGGGGGTCCTGAATGCCAGTGAGCGAGACATGTGGAAGCTGTGGTCGGGGGAGGGCACCCTTGGAGGAGGAAGGAGTGAAGGGAAGTAGAAGAGGCCTGGCCTTCCTCCTTCTTATCTGCCTCAACCCCTCCCCCACCAGGGGCCCGAGAGCCACGACTGGTGCGGACAAACAGGC